GCCATCAGCTAGAGTCTGCTATGTATCCCATCTGGACTTATCTATTCCCCGGCCTGAGCAGATAAAGTTCAGCATGGAAGAGGTATTACTTATGAGAGACAGTGTGGCCGAGTGTTTAGGGCGCTGGTCTTGTAATCTGATAGTCCTAGGCTCAAGCCCTCCACCCTAACACTCTCTGGATTTGTTCTCGGTTGCCCTGGTGTTCAACTGGTCTGACTCCTGCTAGTTATTCAACATCCAATTTTTTCGTATTGGTTCCCTTGAGGGAGTCGTCAATATACATACATAAACACACTTTATCTTTCATTCATCATTTACCAAGTAAATAAGAATTAGGAAACCAACAACGATGCCAGTCTTCTTAAATTAAGCTTGAAAGGGATATTTCAAAATTAATTGCGTAAATATTTATTACCGGTGATATTTCATAGGGTTGTTTTATTGCTATTTTCTAAAAGCAGACTTTATCACAATAGTTACCATTCTACCTTCTTTCGATCAGTTTCTGAACAAGTAGTTCTTAATTTGATGTGTTTGGATGGGTCAACGATTCTCGGGGGAAATTAGACGGAATATTTTAACTGATCGGAAACCTCGAGACAAAAAAATTCAATTAATGGGCGAATTCAAGGTTTTAATCGTTATCTATCGAACCGAACTTAAGCTAGGATTTGCATTGTAATATTGACAAAGTATTTTTAAAGGCGAGTCCCAGTTCGCAACGTCTCGAGAAGTCATCACTGAGGGGGATACCATATTTGCAAAATTTAGAAGTGAATGTTATGAATTTAGTAGAGTTTTTCAAAATTTTCAAAATATTCAAAAGTTGTGGGGAGACTCTTCAATCTTATAAATCTTTTTTCGCCTTCTTTTTCCTCACTGGAGTACCGTGACCTAGTCTTTTATTTTCAGCTATAACAGTGGCTGTGTTGTTGCCCAAAAAATGCCATGGAAACGATGTTTTCGTTGTCACCTTTATAAGAATTCCGTGGGTTTTAGAGAAATTCTCTTTTTCTCCCTCGGTAGAGACGTTGTGTAAAACTTTTTTTACGTAGTTATTACACAAATATGTCTTGGCGTGTTGTTATTTCTTACGTATTCCTGTTATCATTCTAGATGTCTTTACGAGGGCAATTTTCCCCCTCAAATGTGACGATTAAAAAGACGGGTTGGAAAGTGGTGGGCTATGCAAGTCGACTGGATTTACCCCAGACGTTTATTGATTTTTGTGGTGGATTTCCTATCTTCAGAGTTGAAAAAACTCCGTTGAATTTCGATAATGTGAAATCGATGGTCAGGCGAGGTGAGAGAAATTAACGTTCATGTAGGCATGAAGAGTAATTTGAAGAAGATTACTCGCGACAATAAAGCTTTTTGTATATTTGAATCCCGTTGGTGCCTTACTTTTATTAGACTTCTTTTTGAAGTAGCTCTAAGCGATCGCTCCCTCGAACCTCATAATATTTAGCTCTAAAGAGTTTGTTATTCCTTAATACCTCCTTGACCTGTCTAAGGAACTACACTTTGATTCGTTCCCTTAAAATCTCTCTTGAGGGAAAGGACAATTGCTGGCCTACAATTTTCTCTCTTTTAGGTTTTCAGAGCCTTCAGTTCACCAATATGTTTTTTTCTGGTTTATATTTTTTACTAGGTCATGGACGTGGGAGACGGAGTCACAATTTAAAAGACATCTCGGCATGCAGCCCGGAAGGCCGAGAGAAGTGGTCGGATTGTATTGCAAAACATAACAGAAATATAATGGATGGTATTCATGTTGAATATGACTTGAACTGCTTTTACGAGACCAACAGTAGTTTTGATGTGTATACCTGCAAACCAAAAAGTGGAGGTGGCTACAAATGCTCAGAAGATGCACATTTCATTAATTACACTGGTGTTTGTTGTCATCCCATATGTTAAAACATTTTAAATTATGGCTCATTTGTGACTTAATACTGATCACTCTTGGCATAAATGATTATCCGTTGATTATTTGTTTACTTTTCCTTTAAAATATAGTCGAACTTTTTTCCAGAAGATGCTTTTTTTCATTCACTTGATACAAGGCAGTTAGTAGGAGGATATTATTTTCACAAGATGCATTCTTAGAATGATTTGTCAGTGAAATGCAGACTCATGTCACTATTTTCCAGCTATGGCAATAATTTTTTTTTTTTTTTACATCTGATGAGAATTGAAATGTGTAAGATCTATCATGTTCCAGCGTTTAACTGGAAAATAATGAGTAAGCAGGGAAAAAAAGACAAACCGTGATGAACCGGAACAAACGGAGATTAGCCAACTTTTTCTCCTTTTCTTTGTTTTGAGCATGTGTATGTAAGAGATTTTTTCGCCTCAATTTTTGTTGAAAGACTTTTCGTTTTGGGCTAAGATGCTTTAAAGCAGAGTAAGTAAATAGAAGAGGTTATTTGTAAAAAAATATTATCCAAGGATTATTCGACTACAAATATTGATTCATGTAACAGTGTAATTGCTTTAACAATAAATTTCTTTCATAATGAATGAAGAGTGAAATATCTGTGTAGACTTTCCTTGTACACTAGCATTTCAAAAGAGGCGAGAAAGTGGGGAACATCAACCGTGATGACATGGAATGAACCAAACAAGCTTGATTGTGAACAGTTTTACTCCGCTGTACTTCAACCAGCTGTATTATCTTGACACTTCCGGTTCAAATTCCCCACCTCAGCCAGGCAAGGTTCAAATTCCCCACCTCCCCGGGAATGGACGACGGTAAAATGCCCGTGGGTTGCCAGGGGGATGTTAAAATTGTCGAATTGATCGGCGCATAAAATGGACTTAAACGATGACAATAAAGAGCCATTTTTCTTTTAATCAATATGAGGCTTGATGAATCATGAAAAACCTGAAATTGAATCTGTACTACGCTCGAGATTGTATTTTTGCGAGACCCACCTACCGCACGCGCTTCACGGCTACTCACTCTTACGGAGAGATAAAATCCTTTGTAAGGCGGTGTTCTCATTTACGTCTCCTCGAACCTCGATTACAAGGTTATTCAAGAGTTTAAGAATAATCAACCGGATCTTCAGTGCCTTAGGATGGAAATAACACCTCCAAAAACTAAAGGTTTTATTTTCCGTTCCTGCTATCGCCCACCGAATGTGGATAACGAAGCAGCTTACGTCGAGGGCTTGAGAAACATGTTGACATGTTGGCTGATCGGGAAAAAGAAATTGTCCTTACCAGGGATCTGAATTTCGACTTCAAACAGTCGAATAAACCTGCATCTACTAAGCGCTTTATCAACATGACGAAAGAGTTTAGTGTGCGGCAGATCATTGACAATTTCACTCGCATAACTGACCATTTACCTATATGTCTAGGGAGTAAAACCGGTTGGTTTTAGTGATCGCTCTGCAATTTTTATTGTCCGTAAACTACATCGTTTAAAATCGCCTCCTCCGAGAGTAATTGATACCCGGAATTTCAAGCGTTTCAATCGTGATGCTTTTAATGAAGATCTAGACAAAGTTCCATGCTCATTAATAAATTCCTTCGCAAATGTTGAGGAGTCATGGGACTTATTTAAAAAGCTTTTTGTGAAGTCGCCGATTCTCATGCCCCAAGAATCCGCGTGCGAGTCAAGGGACAAAAGGTACCCTGGCTGACACGCGTGGTGAAACAACCACTGAATGAAAGGGGAGAAGGGTATTGAGATTTTCGGTTTTGCGGTTTTGGCTAATTTTTAGATCGGTTTTTTGGTTTTGGTGTTCATTGCGGTTTGCGGATTTTCCGGTTTTTTAGCATTTGGTTTTCAGTTTTCGCGAAAAATACTAACGGGTTTTTGGATTTGATATCCGATGTGGTTTTCGGTTTTTCCTATTTGACCTATTTGGGTTCCGGTTTCTCTTCGATCTGAGCGGCAATTACGCGCCACCACTGATCTCGAATAGCCGCAAAACGCAAATGTTATCGAGAGGAATGCAATGCGTGACAAACCGATTTAAAAATATCTGGGGGCTCAATACTGAATCTGTGAGTGACTTTCAAGATCCTGTTAGATGTTGTCTCGACTTTGCCGACCACACCTGTTTGGTTATACGAAAAAGAAACCGCACTTCCTTCAAAAACTGTTTGAGATAAGCACTCTTAAAATAGGGGCAATCATGAGGGTCAACACCGAGGAGCACAGCGAATGTTTCTAGACGTACCCGCCATAAACAATTCTTTAAAAAAAAGGTCCAGAATGCTTGCACAAGTAAAAAACTCCTAAGCCGTCGATTGATTCAACTTCCAAGTAAATGTAATTAACCCTTGTTTAGTTTTTAGAATTTTCGCCCAGTCCAATACATGCTTCAGTGCATCTCCTATCTTCCCTTTTCCTACAAAGATGTAGTCAAAAAGCCCTTTTAATTTTTTATTTGGTAAAAAAAGTGGTAAAGTTTTTGTGACACGAAGGCAAACTACGCGTTTCTTATACTATTTCGAAAATATCACTAGAAATACCTTATAGTAGCTTACAGTTTACACATTTTAGTGATGCCTAGCTAGAGGGGTTATCAATGCAGCCTGCCAATGAATTAAAGAATCTTTGTATAATTTGTTTCTACAATCTTAAATTGGCCCATTCAGATAAATCACATTAACATTAACATACAAAAGAACAGCAAAAACCAATGTAGTTTACAAAATGAACTAACTTCTCACACGTAAAACCACCCATACCTATGGGCTTACAGTCTACAATGTAAGTACCACAATGTGTAGCATATTTGCATCTTATACTATATTGAATGTGCTTAGATGCATATGTCCGTCGATTGTTTTGCTTTTGCAAACAACGCATCACTGTTTTCACATCATCGTGACTACATAAGGAAAAGTCCCTGATAGCATGACTCCGCTTTCGACGGCCAAAACCTTAAAGGAAATAAATACATAGTCATTACCACAAATAGCAATAAAAGTCTTCCAACGTATATTTGTCTTGTCCTTAGAAATTGCTTGTACCTGAGTCTTGTTCATATTAGTGTCTAAATTTTTTCCTAGTAAACTGACATCAGTAAGTAAGAGTAAGTGACAGATGATAGCCAAAGCCACAAACTAAAGTTCAGTTCGATAACAAAATGACACAGGATATATTATGATGTGAAATCTCACGCGGCTCCAAATATGATTTCACCATTGAATTGTGTCCTTTGAGATAAATAATTCATGTACATGTCCATACACATCATCAAAAATGGGTAATTGAACTGAATTTTTTCGATTTATATGGCTATAAGCCTATTGAAAAAGTGACAGTTGCTTTTTATTGTTTTCATAAAATTTATTTTACCTCTGCTTAAAGGCCTCGTTGCCGAATCAATCGACGTTTGTTCAATGGTATAGATTGGAAAGCTGCCACAGAAATCCAGAAACTTCTGAGGCAAAGCTGATCGTTGCGCGAAACTGACCACTCTCCAAGCTCTTTCTTTTGTTGTCACCCGGCTGGGTAACCTGGGCTGCATCGAAGTCTGCAACGTAGAACGAGTGTGGTATTAAGAGCGACGAACTCAGTTATAAAACATTTTATATTGCAAATTAACTCTCTGAAAATTGGTTCCCTCAATTTTTACTTGAGAATAACGTATTTCTTCATGAAAAAAATAGCATATCTGCTTCAGCAGTCAGAAAGTCCAATTATGCCCAAAGAGAGTCTTGTCATACAGTAAGATATAAACCGTCAGAGCTCCTCACTTTTACATGCCCCAAGTTGACTTTCATCTTCTCTGGCACAGGAAAAGATGAATCCAGCTTAGATACATAGCAGGCTCGTGCTGATGGTACTCGGTAAACAGACAAACCCTGAGGAAAGATATAGTTATGTTTTCAATCTTCACCATTAGCGTAAGCAAACAGGTCAGGGGAGGTGAGGGGGGCCCTAGTCTCTACCCTTCCCCTGTTAAAAAATTAGTCAGTACTGCCGGATTAGCTAAGAGTGAAGTTCTCACGTATCACGGTGCAAATTACAAAACAACATATTTTGAATGGCGTAAGATGTTTTTCGACTTGTCACAAGCGTAGGACAAATAAAAAATTCTGAATCCCCATAAAGAGTCGAACCTCAGACCTTCGGATTCCGATGAAAAACATCTCAAAACTTACCATCTCTATTATTCTCTTTGCAAACATGACGCTACCGACATTTCTGATCCTAGCAGTATGCAGGACGCGTGTCATATGAACTTCGTAATAGACCTCGCTCACAGTCTCTGTGTCCCTGTGGCTCAGTAGTGGAACCCATGCTCGTGAAAAGCAGAAAAACATCTTTTTCTATTTCTTTATCGAGCTCAAAAACTCACCATCTCTCTTATTATATTTATATTTTGAATGGGTTTTAAAAATTCAATCTTAAAACGTTTTTAAGATCACAGATGTAATTTTTTTTTTCAGAATAATGGTCTCATAAAAATTTGAATTTGACAAACATTGTAATCTGTTGCAACCAAGTAGTTGAAAAAACTTAATTTAAAAGTACGTGTGCAGTCAAAATATCTCATGTTGATATTTTTTTCTTCCTTTTTTATGTGTATTATTTTTAAGTAATACCATAATTTTCCGCGTAATTTAGCATACATAACCACTTGTCAAATTTGTCGAACTGAAAGCTCAGATTTACTCGTGTTTATTAACACCGCACCTCTCAAAAGTCATTCATCATTTCCATTGCATCCACATCGTTGTGCTGAGGAACACGGAACACTTCGGTTTGATTGTCGACATCCACTTCCACATCTTCGGTAAACGTCGCCCCATTTTCGGAAACGCGGAAGGAATAGCTCTCAGTCTGTCACGATGAAATGAAAAAAATGATACTATTGATAACGATATTGATGAAAATATTTATAACAAAAGAATATAATCCCGTGTTTATGATAATAATCATTATTATGCCGACGAAAATAATTATATTGATTTTTTAGTTGACTTATAACTTATGATATACTCTAATATCTAGGTAAAGTATCTGACAGTTTTTCCCCTAAGAGGAAATAAATAAATAAATGCAAAACACGTCATAACAAAACTAGTCGAGAAAATTGATGAAATCATTAATCATAACTTACATTGCAATCAACTTGAACTCCATTCAAGGTGATTAGAAGAATGCTGACCAAAAAGACAACCTAAAAGACAAAGACGACAAAGTGCTGATTTGAAATATTTTGTAGAATGCTCTTTGTTTGAAGAGTTTGTAGAAACGAAGAATTAAATCAAATTAGTTATCTGTAGGGTGTAGTAGTCATTCTTATGTCTCAAAGAGAGAAATAATCCTGATTGACAGATCACTGATAAATTAAATTGCCTGATGCGACAAACATCTCAAATGTAAGATTTCACAAAGAAAGCTACAGAACTTACCATTTTCTCGAGAGGTATATTTTCTGTCGCGATTTGAAGCTTGATTTGATCAGGTGAAGATCCGCCAGTGTAAACAGTGTTATTCGAAATGGAAGCCTGGGCCTTTGTTCTGCTCTCTACCGTGACTGCTGTGCCTTCACCAGTCATATTCTCAACGTTTCAGCTCTGCTGACACGAAAATGGAAGAAGTTGAGATTATTACGTGTTACACCAACGCTAAAAGAAGCTGAAACGGTTTTTAACACTAGTGATATGAACCACTGACCGTGGCCATGTCAACAAATTTACCTACCCTATGGCTGAAGGAAGCTGGTTATTCTGTTAACTTCCGATATAGGTCTTTATCACTCAGACAATAAACACTGCGAACTTGACCCCAGAGAAAATAATGGCACATAAACTTCTTCTTTGCTTTGTTTCGTCATATCTTTTTTGTGAGTGCACATAATTCTTTTAAGAACTATTTAAAAAAGTTCATAACACGACCTTTCTCTGATATTGACATGAATTTTACAACCAACTTCCTATTTTTGAAATTCCTTGAACTGTAGACATTAAAGTCACGCTTTGCTATAACAAAGGATGTGTACCAAACCACGTGCACGCGATTGATAATATCAAGAGTTTATGTTTAGGAGTGAGCAAACATAGTTAAAGGGAGAAATATAATTATGATCAGATAATTTTTTTAGAAAGATATGTCTTTTCTCATAGATGGATCAACTCCATGCCGTTAAAGTTTTTCCCCCGAACCACCTTTAGTGCTCTTTGAGAAAACGTGACAGATAAAAGGGAAGCTGAAAACCAGAGCAAACGTGACTCAGCGAGTACGTGACAGGCATAAAAAATACCCATTGTCTTGAGGTCGGTCAATCTTTCTTTCTTAAAAACATCCGTTTTTCTCCTCGTAATGATGCTAAGTATAAATAACAAGATTTCATGTAGTAAGATAGCGAGTTCTGAGACGTTAGTGATAGAAACACAGAAAACCCTGATAAAACTGCGTATTCAATCAAAAATGGTAAGTATGCTCTTATTGCAGTATCAAACACTTTTAGTAATCACAACACAATTCTCGACGCAAAGCTTCCTTTATTTCTTTCAACTTACTGTTGTATAATTCTCCACTTAAAACAACCCGTGCGAACTCTTAAATGAGAAAAGAAATAATTTCTGTCACCTTACGCACTGGTATTACAACAAAGGATCAATTTGTGATTCATTTCTTGTTTTCTCCTAGAAGATTCCCTCAGTTGTTGCCTTCACCGTGGTTTTGTTCAATTGCATCTCACATTCAAATGCAGTAGAGGTAGGTTGATTTCGTCCGTAAAATGTTTAAGAATGAGCTTTCTACATCAACATGGTCTTTTAAAGTTGAATTTCCAAAGGGGAAAAATGTCAACACAAGTAAATATTCAGGTATTTTTTGTCATCGGCTTTCATTTATCTTCCATTTATAATGTGCGTAGAACGATGATGGGACAATTAAGTGATCGAAATCAGAGTTCATGCTAACCGTGTCCGTGAACAATATCCAAGAGTAGTTTATCATGTATGAAGACACGTCCTTACCACTCTCTTTGATTAAGTAACCATTGGTTAGTTCACAGACCCTCCTAGTGAGGAATATGTTGAAGTAAAGTCCGCGAAACGACATCGCAAGCTGCGCATCCATTCACTCGTACACATTCATAAACAATAGGAGGACTTATAATTTTTTTCGCTTGGGGGGGGGGGGGGGGTTTGGGGGTTGGTAGGACTCCAAGCATTTGATTCCAGTCTACAAACTGTAAAAAGACTAGGTGTAGAAGCAGCCTGATTTGCATGATGTGAATCTTTCAGATGCAACACAGGAGTTTTTCCAGTTTGGATAAGAAGGCCGTTTTTAAAGGTATTTAACGTCTAATAATTTCAAAGCTCACACTTTTCCTCCAGCTTCGCTCTCGGAAAACTGTTCGCATCTCGGAACGGATAATTTTTGCGGTATATATCCGTGCATATGTTTGCGCCAAATGGAGGCTATTGTTTACAGGGACCTCTATAGCTGGTATGTTTTGTTTACACATTTCAGGTCATGTGATAATAATCTAGAGAACTGTTTCTTTCAATTTACATATGTAAGCATAATTTACAAAAGATAAAGCTGGGAATTCTCATGAGACCTGAAATGGGTAACCAAAACATGCAAGAGGTCTATTGCAAGGCTGATGCAGTAAAAATTGCAAGCGTATGGCAAATCACGGTTTATTATTTTTAAACCGAGGCAACTACCCTGGCAATCCTTGACTGAAATAATTGTGGTTATCAGTACATCCACGGTATGGCTCTTCGCCTGATATAAAATAAAAAGAAAAAATAAATAATAAATAAAAATACATGAATCTGAATTATGAATTTGTAAAAAGCTAGGTAATAAACAGTAAAATGTAATTATACAATATATACATTATTTAAAACTAGGCAAGAAATTATTCCGCCCTATTCCGGCAGCGCTCCCTTAAAATACATAATGTTTGCTTTCTGAAGGATTTAAAATCATCACAGCACTGTGTAATTTGGAAAGGGACGTTTTGGCTATGTTAGGATCACGAATTAATGTCTATCAAACTTTCCTTATACGTCTGCTCATGAAAATCATTATAACAGGGTAACTTGATATTATTAACTGAGTTGATAACGTAAATTGGCCACCGTAAAGAGTTTGAAGGTGATATTTCGAGCGTTAGCCTTGTTGTTGTTTTTTTTCGCTAAAAGAGATCTTTACAACTTCAAACTTTTCTTATCAGTTGATGGAGGTTACTCTCCATGGAGTACATGGAGTAAGTGTAGCAGGTCATGTGGATTTGGATATCAGTGGCGCTCTCGAACATGTACCAATCCCGCGCCAAAATATGGAGGACGAACATGCTATCAACAGCAGAGACTGGGACGAGCTACAGAATGGAGAAGGTGCAACACAAATGTTAATTGTCCAGGTAACAAAATAGCTATTTCTATTTTTCACGGGGTCTTGAGTGAGAGGCTGGAGTCTGAAACTTGCACATAACTCAGACGTTCGCCTTAATTAAGTAACTTCCAGGCCAGTTGGGAACCAAAATAATTTCACTTACGAGTGTTATTTAACCACTTAACACTTCTCTTATCAGTTGATGGAGGTTACTCTTCATGGGGTACATGGAGTACGTGTAGCAGGTCATGTGGAATAGGAATCCAGTTGCGTTCTCGAACATGTACCAATCCCGCGCCAAAATATGGAGGACGAACATGTTATCGACTGGGACGAGCTACAGAATGGAGGAGGTGCAACGCAATTTTTAATTGTCCCGGTAACAAAATAACTATTTCTATTTTTCACGGGGTTTTGACTGATAGGCTGGAGTCTGAAACTTGCGCATTGCTCAGACGTTCGCCTTAATTAAGTAACTGACAGGCCAGTTGGGAACCAAAATAATTTCACTTACGAGTGTTATTTGACCACTTAACACTTCTCTTATCAGTTGATGGAGGTTACTCTCCATGGGGTACATGGAGTAAGTGTAGCAGGTCATGTGGATTTGGTAATCAGTTGCGCTCTCGAACATGTACCAATCCCGCGCCAAAATATCGAGGACGAACATGCTATCAACAGCGGAGACTGGGACGAGCTACAGAATGGAGAAGGTGCAACACAAATGTTAATTGTCCAGGTAACAAAATAACTATTTCTATTTTTCACGGGGTCTTGAGTGAGAGGCTGGAGTCTGAAACTTGCACATAACTCAGACGTTCGCCTAATTAGGTTACTGACAGGCCAGTTGGTAACCAAAATAATTTCACTTACGAGTGTTATTTAACCACTTAACACTTCTCTTATCAGTTGATGGAGGTTACTCTTCATGGGGTACATGGAGTACGTGTAACAAGTCATGTGGATTTGGATATCAGTGGCGCTCTCGAACATGTACCAATCCCGCGCCAAAACATGGAGGACGAACATGCTATCAACAGCGGAGACTGGGACAAGCTAGAGAAAGCAGGAGGTGCAACACCAATGTTAACTGTCCAGGTAACGAAATAACTATTTCTATTTTTCACGGGGTCTTAAGTGAGGGGCTGGAGTCTGAAACTTGCACATTACTCAGATGTTCGCCTTAATTAAGTAACTGACAGGCCAGTTGGGAACCAAAATACTTTCACTTATCATAATACCCATATGGACCCGCTCCCGCAAACCTGTGGAAAACCATAATGAAACCTGACTTGAATATCAATTGAATTTTTAACGGGATGTGGATGTAACTTTGCGAGTATTTTCAATATTTCCTGTTCTGTTTTTGTAGAAGTTGGTGTTTGTTAACGGCCCAGGAAATGTACTTGCGCTTACGACGGAGAAAGGAAACGTTTTTGATTTATAATTTTTTTTTCTGGATAACAATCCAGGAAAACAACCCAGTCCTACTTAGGTCCAAACACTATGACGATTTATAAAATAATTGATATAGTGTGCGCGCCCACTAAATGAGAGTATATAAACGCGTTTTTAACTTAACATTTTCTGTTTTTTTCGAGGAAATTTTTACAATTACTAAATGAACTACGATAAAATAACCTCCAAGACACTTTTCACCGTGTTATTATAAAATGTTGGCAAAATGCACACTAAAGTATGTGCCACAGTGTCAAGGGGGCCGAAAACTAACAGTGGAAGAACATTTATTTAATCAAATCAAACCTCCTATATGAGAGAAAGCCTGAGGCCCACTGATTGCTAAAACCGTCGTTTGGGTTAAACCTCGCGTGAATAACCGGCCCTCGGTGTTTTGCGTTCAGTCTTAAGAATAAGACAGATTTTGATAATTAGAAATATATCCTATCGCTAACTCAGAGAGGCGAAGACTTGTGTCATCTACGACACGAAGTAAAAACTTATTAGTGCTATGCGGGTTTAAATTGTTTATCTCAAAAAGTTGGATTGTTCACATCTGGAAACTTGGGTCAACAACTTGGTAACTTCAGTCCGATTTTATCCAAAAAATACTATGAATAACTATTTCTATAGTTAAATACAAGTTTCAGTTTGTGACATACATATGACAAAATGCGAACAAATCATAAATAACTTTATTTTCCAAACTTAAACCCGTCCCATCTTCATTACCATTTTATTTCAGTTTCGAGTGGTACTATACCTTTTTTTTGGTTACGAGTGTTATTTGACCACTTAACACTTCTCTTATCAGTTGATGGAGGTTACTCTTCATGGGGTACATGGAGTATGTGTAGTAGGTCATGTGGAATAGGATATCAGTTGCGCTCTCGAACATGTACCAATCCCGCGCCAAAATATGGAGGACGAACATGTTATCGACTGGGACGAGCTACAGAATGGAGGAGGTGCAACGCAATTTTTAATTGTCCGGGTAACAAAATAACTATTTCTATTTTTCACGAGGTTTTGACTGATAGGCTGGGCCTGAAACTTACACATAACTCAGACGTTCTCTTTCATTAAGAAACTGCCAGGCCAGTTGGGAGCCGAAATACTTTAACTTATCATAATGCCCGTATGGATCCGCTCCCGCAATCCTGTGAAAAACCATAAAGAGATCTAACTTGTCCATTAATCGAATTTTTAACGGGATGTAGATGTAACTGCGCTACTTTTTTTCAATATTTCATGTTCTGTTTTTCTAGAAGTTGTTGTTTGTTTATGGCCCTTGAAATGTTTTGCACTTACGAAGGAGTAAGGAAATGTTTTTAACTTATAATCTTTTTTTCTTGTTGCTCTGCATGCACCTTTATTGAGAATGCAATCCAGTCCTACTTAGGTCAAACACCATGATGATTTATAAAATAATTGACATAGTACGCGCTCTCAATGGTCAACTGGCCAGCTTAGATAAGAGTATATAAACGCATTTGTGACTTCATATTTTTTTCTGTTTGCTGTCACACTTTGAAAACATTTTCAAAATCAAAGTTTTCTTAATACTCGCAAAGTAATTTTAAGTACAGTTAAAAAATCTTAGAGAAGGAGGAAAGTTTGCCAAATTTTCATCTAGGGTGGCCCGAGGTAAAAAATGAAAAAGAAAAAAGATCTTCAGAGCTTTGTCTGCCTTGATGATCGTGATGGACGTCGAGGAAGCTCAAACAAAGACGTCGAAATATGCAACAAAATGCACTGTTTCCATTTTTTTTCAGGGAAATGTTTGCATTTACTGAATGTACCACAAAATAATATCCCTTCAGACACTTTTTAAAGTGTTATTACGACATTCTAGCAAAAACACACACTTAAGTATATACCGAAGTGTCAAAGAGGCCGAAAACTGACAAGAGGGACATTTATGTAATCAAATCAAACCTCCTACATGAGAGAAAGCCTGAGGCCCACTGATTGTTAAAACCGTCTTTTGGGTTAGACCTCGCGTGAATAACCGGCCCTAAGTGTTTTGCGTTCAGTCTTAAGAATAAGACAGATTGCAAAAATTAGATATATGTCCCATCGCCAACTCACGGAAGCGAAGACTTGTGTCATCTACGACATGGAGTAAAAACTAATTAATGCCATGCGGGTTTAAATCATTTATCTCAAAAAGTTGGATTGTTCACATTTGGATGCTTGGGCCAACAAGTTGGTAACTTCTGTCTGATGTTATCCGAGAACTCTATTAATAACTATATTCATATTTCAATACAAGTTTCAGTCTGAAACATGCATTGGACAAAATACGAACAAACATAAATAACTTTATTTGCCAAACTTAAACCCGTCCATCTTCATAACCATTTTCTTTCAGCTTCGAATGGTCCTATACTTTTTTTTGTTACGAGTGTTATTTGACCACTTAACACTTTTCTTATCAGTTGATGGAGGTTACTCTTCATGGGGTACATGGAGTATGTGTAGCAGGTCATGTGGGGGAGGATATCAGTCGCGCTCTCGTACATGTACCAATCCTGCGCCAAAATATGGAGGACGAACATGCTATCAACAGCGGAGACTGGGACGAGCTACAGAATGGAGAAGGTGCAACACAAATGTTAACTGTCCTGGTAACAAAATAACTATTTCTATTTTCCACAAGGTCTTAAGTGAGAGGCTGAAGACTAAAACATGCACACTACTCAAACGCTCGCCCTAACCAGGTATCTGCCAGGCCAGTTGGGAACCAAAATCCTTTTAACTATCATAATTCCCGTATGGACCCGCTCCCGCATTCCTGTGGAAAACCATAATGAGACCTGACTTGTATATCAATTGAATTTTTAACGGGATGTAGATAATAACTTCGCTACTTTTTCAATATTTCCTGTATTGTTTTTTTTAGAAGTTGAAGTTTGTTAACGGCCCTAGAAATTTATTTGCACTTACGACGGAGAAAGGAAACGCTTTTAATTTCTAATCTATATTCTTATTGTCCAACATGCACCTTTCTATAGAATGCAATCCGTTTCTACCTAGGTCCAAACACCATGATTATTTATAAAATAATTGACATAGTACGCGCTCTCAATGGTCAACTGGCCAGTTTCGATAAGAGTATATAAACACATTTGTGACTTCACATTTTTTCTGTTTGCTTTCACAATTTGAAAACTTTATCATATCAAAGTTTTCTCTGTACTCACAAAGTAATTCCAAGTACATTTAACAAATATTAGAGGTGGAGAAAAATTTGTCTAATTTTCATCTGAGGTGGTCCGATGCGCAAGTTACATTTTGCAGGGAAATTTTTTCTTCATTTGACCACTTAACACTTCTCTTATCAGTAGAAGGAGGTTACTCTTCATGGGGTACATGGAGTATGTGTAGTAGGTCATGTGGAATAGGATATCAGTTGCGCTCTCGAACATGTACCAATCCCGCGCCAAAATATGGAGGACGAACATGCTATCAACAGCGGAGACTGGGACAAGCTAGAGAAAACAGGAGGTGCAACACAAATGTTAATTGTCCAGGTAACAAAATAACTATTTCTATTTTTCACGGGGTCTTGAGTGAGAGGCTGGAGTCTGAAACTTGCACATTACTCAGACGTTCGCCTTAATTAACTGCTAGGCCAGCTGGAAACCAAAATACTTTCACTTATCATAATACCCGTATGGACCTTCTCCCGCAATCCTGTGGAAAACCATAATGAAACTTGTCTTGTATATCAACTGAATTTTTAGGGGAGTGAAATGTAACTTTACTACTTTTTCAAATATTTTCTGTTCTGTTTTTCTAAAAGTTATCGATTGTTTTCCTGACGTTTATTGAAATCTTGTTTCAGCTTGAGAGAACGATCGCCCAGATGGTTTCTGCCACAAGTGGGTGTCCCTATGCTCAAGCAATAAACGATTTGCAAACTTTTGCAAGAAAAACACCTGCCGGGATTAATTGTCGTGGAATGCTAAGCTGATAGTGATACATTATTAAATAATGGTTTTTGAAGCACAGCCATCATCGTTCTTCAAATATTTTTAAAATTGTCTTGAATTTTAAATGGTTAGTCTCCCCTAGTACTAATAACTTTGTCATTGTTGCAACGTAACCTCGTTGTGATTGAAAATGAAGAATAAAAAAATACTCGAAAACACCGATGGCAATATGAAATCAGGCATTTTTTATTCAAAGAGATGGGAAGGAATGGGGGAGGGGGTGGAGCACTCTTAGCGGGGTCAGTTGGGTTTCAGGGGGACCAGAGGGTGATTAGTCGTTGCCAACAGAGTTTAAAAGGGGGACTATGAAATATTGACTGCCATGAGGGGGGATCATTAAATGCCACTGAACACAGAGCTTAAGGAAGGGGGGGGGGAGTCAGGTAAAATTTAATGTGACACACCAAAAATCCTCTGACCCCCCCCGCTCAGGCGATTAATAATGATCGCTCACTACGTACGTAATCAGCGTCAACTAATGGGTCACTACATTAAAAGGGTCACCTGACCAAGGTGTATACTTTCATCTAGTGAATAGTGGTCATCCAACTGAAAATCTGAAAATCTGAAAATCGTATGACTACCGTGGGTTACAAAACTTTGTCCCGGCTGACTGGCAGAACTGAGAAACGTCTGTACATGTGCTATGCTTAGGTGCCGAAAACGGATTTTGGGTCGTTTGCGTGTTTGATTTTCCGTTCTGTAGATTCAAGGCGCCGTTTACTTGCCGCTTTACTCTTACAGAACAACCTCTAAAAACTTTGTACACCCCCTTAATATTTTTAAAAAATTAACTTTCTCCTGAGAAACATTGGGAGCAGGAAAATGCCTCCAACGACAACAAAATGCAAAGTTCGTGGAATTTTAAACCTTGTGTACTTGAGCCCGCGTCATTGACCGCAAACCCGTGACGTTGCATTTCGTTGTTCAGCTCTGCCTCCAGCGGAGCGGCTTTCGAGGAGCAAAGATGAGCCGATGCCGTTTTATGCGAATGAATACGATACCGAGTACGATACTGACCTTTTTTCTTCAATGTCGATATCGATACTGTGACGTCATTGAGTTTAATGTCTAGTCACGTGATTTGATTGACGAAATATAGGGTTATCTCGCACTGTTAAGTTGTGCGGTGTTGAGTACTCTACAGAAGCATCAATAAGACAGTTAAAGATTTAAAACTATGTCGATGTGTTTGGGGATAAGACCCAACGACTGTGTTTCGGTTGTCTTCTCCAAGTCACCTGTCAAAGCACGTGATTGCAAAAGGAAGCAAAATTCCTTGGCAAAAATTATATTTTGGTTAAATTAGAACTGTATAATGTCAAAAAAATTGTCGACTGTACACAAGCAAGCTTTGGATAAAGATTTTTGGAGGAAAGAATTTGTTAAGCTCGTTTTTTTCCAAAAATAAGGATTAACATGTCATTAAAGTGGAATGCACCAGCCTGAAAACAAAATTTGCGCACCGATCAGTTTTGAAGTTTCAACATTTCCCCGGGCAACCCACTAGCGTTTGACGGTTGTTCATGCAGCCCGGGTGGTGGGGAATTTGAACCTTTCCTGACTAGCTGGATGACTGGGGGATTAGAACGGGACGTATCAAGTCTATCCAGTGTAAAACAAGTGTTATATTTTTAAATATGAAGGTGTTTAGGGTAACTACATACATGTAGTTTACTTTCGCGCTCAAATGGCACAGAAGAAAAGGTTTACAAGGTCTAGGTTTTGAAGCTTGGTCAAAGTGTAAAAGGTCACGATCATTAATATTGCCTTTTATGATAAAATGGTGAGGCATTTGAACACAATTTTTGCCCTCGCGAGGGGTAGGGGCAGATATTTGAACAAGCCAATCTACAAAAATTCAAATGCAGGGGGGGGGGGGGGGGGGGTTGCGCGGGAGGGAGATGTTGAAGCGTTTAATTAATCAAAGCATTACCTGGTACAAGTTTCTGAATTGTTTGGTAAGTGATACACTAAGGAAATCATTACATTGACAAAGAAGACATTTTTAGAATTTATAATGCATTTACAATGCATTTATAAAGCATTTATGAGGCATTTATAATTTGTGCTTATGGACTCAGTAGGAAAGCCGGACGGGAAAATATTTGGCTTCAGGTCATGACGTACGAACAAGGTACAGCAAGGTCCGTGCGTCATGAACGAGAGCGAGAATATTTTTCCCTTCGGCCTGAACTTACCCATGATCATTCAGTAAGCATTTAACAAATAAACTTAGTCTACGGCGTTATAAAAGGCTTTCCAGCCCTGAGAAAAGCTGTAACAATACACGTGAAAAATATCGCCAATCAGCTGCTGACACGTCACTCGCCTTTCGCGCTTCTCGGTCAGGTTGATGAATGAACGCAACTCGCGCTCATACGCTGACAAGGGAGCATCGCTGGTTTAGTGGACACGAATTCCTGAGTGAGCATGAAGATGCCTGGCCTTAAGGAAAATGCACAGTGTTTGAGGAGCGTTCAGAAGAATGATTAGCTGAGATAGTCAAACCGAACATGACCTTTGCATAAGAGATTTCACAACCGTTGATGAATCCACTAAAGTATTCCAGTTGGAACCGACTTAGAAGAGTCACAGCATGGGTGAGACGTTTTGCTGATCTGTTGTTGGCCAAAGTGAAGAAGCAAGGCAAACCTGTAGGTGTTGTTGCCAGGACTTATATTGACGCCAATTGAAATAGACAGAGGTGGAGAACTGTGGGTGAAACAAACACAGGAGGAGAGATTTCCTGAAGAGATAAAAGATTTGATTGGAGGAAAAGAAGTCAGAAGACAGAGCCACTTGAAACTTCTTACCCCTATTGTGGCTAAGCTAGGTATATTGCGTGTCGGAGGGCGATTGGACCAAGCAGAACTATCTTATGATGCAGCACACCCCATGATCTTGCCAAAGAAACATCACATCAAGCAATTAACTGTTGCAGACGTCCATAACCGTTGCCGACATGCGGGCGTCAACCACGTGCTAGCTTAGGTACGAAACCGATACTGGGTTATAGATGGTCGGCAGGAGGTGAAGAATTGGGACAAAGAATGCAAGGTGTGTGAGAGAAGAC